AAAAAAAAAAAAAAAAAAAAAAAAAAAAAAAAAAAAAAAAAAAAAAAAAAACTGTAAATTGTAGTTTCTCTATATCTTTCATATTGGCTTTAGAGACTCGTGGAATTGGCAGTTTGTTTTTGTTATTCATTACCAGTTTCTGTAATCAGTATTTTTTCTGGGCGACCTATCTTTATGACATATTTACTGTGTTTATGTCCCTGGCCCGGGCATTCAGGGAGCTCTGATAACTTTGGCTACTTGTCTAACCTAACTCGTCACGTTCTCACGCGAATAAAACACAACAGCCTAGAGGAGGTACCTAAACCAGATCTGTGCCGAGTTTGAGGGCAGTACTGTTGGAAAGGACTTTCTGATCAAATGATGTAATTAGCACTTTCTGGAGGATACAAAAATCCTGTAGTAAAATCTTTAGATGTCAACTGGCTATGAGTAATACATTATGTGACTAACATTTCCACAGCTTGTTATCTACAACGATTCTCAGATTTATATCCAATGTCTACTTTGTTTAAATTAACTAAGTCAAATAACGTGTTACGAATACTTATGTCGAAGAACTCAGTTCCATTAAATGCAGTGGTTTGGAAAAGAAGACAGTATACGTGTATTTGATAGAGGAGGTGGGTGCGGGATAGAAGACAGTATACGTGTATTTGATAGAGGAGGTGGGGGCGGGATAGAAGACAGTATACCTTGTATTTGATAGAGGAGGTGGGGGCGGGATAGAAGACAGTATACGTGTATTTGATAGAGGAGGTGGGGTGGGATAGAAGACAGTATACCTTGTATTTGATAGAGGAGTTGGGGCGGGATAGAAGACAGTATACGTGTATTTGATAGAGGAGGTGGGGTGGGATAGAAGACAGTATACCTTGTATTTGATAGAGGAGGTGGGGGCTGGGATAGAAGACAGTATACCTTGTATTTGATAGAGGAGGTGGGGTGGTATAGAAGACAGTATACGTGTATTTGATAGAGGAGGTGGGGGCGGGATAGTGACTTGCGCGTTTTGTAGCAGTATAATATTTCTTTATTCTTTGCTGGTATATCATGCCTTCTTTGTTTTATTACCGGCGTATCCCATCGTACTTCAAACACTATTTCAGTGTACCGGCATACACTGTTTTATTGGAAAAACTCGCAAGAAATTCTCTCTGATAATTTATGTCTACAATTATAAAACTGCAGCTTATCCCCCTTAGATGTCTTTGTATTTGTCGTAAACCAAAGATTTAAAAGTTCTTTAATTGTCGTGTTGGTGCCGGACATTGGTTCTCATGTACACTACTTGTATTGTATTTATTGCTTGTATTTATAGATCAGTGCATTTTGTGTTACAGTTAATACAAGATTATATATTTAGCTGTCGTTCTCTTATCGACTATCAGATGTCCTAAGAGTGAAGAACAAGGGACAATAAATCGTAAGGTCAGAATGACAAGTATGTCATACGATGAATACCAGTTTCGTTCTCCAGTTGCTTGAGGTATGCAATGGTTGAACGGGAAAGCTTATCTTGGTGAACCTATATCCAATTTCCAGGTGGACATCCTTCTCGATTATGTTGCGTTCTTGTGCTTGGGACAAGTGGTGGATTTATACCACGTGACCTCTCACAAAACACCGCATTTTACTTACCACGGCTGAGATATAACTTGTTGCACGTCTCTTTCGATATGGTCTTTGTGCCATACGTTCATCTATATTTCCAATACCGTTAAGTACAAGGGATAATTCTTTCTTGGAAATTATAAATCTCTGATTTGAACACATCTTTATGATCTCAGTGTATGAATACTTTGGGTCATAAAGAACTATTACAAAACTTCTCCAAAAGGGACTACTTCAAGTTTGACTAATTCAGGCCTTCCAAATAAATTATACGAAGCTCCTGCTTTTTGCAAACTTTGTTCAGGTTTAGTTTATCGATTAACTTCTTCAGGTCTAGGATTTAGATTGGAGTTATAGAACTAACCAAGATGGGCGCGAGTTGACCCTGTGGTAAAGCTCTGGAAGTGGAAAACCGGATTCAAATCCGTGCGACATCACAAAATAGTCCCTGTACTTTAAGTTGTGGGTGTTTTATAAGAGTGACAGTGAATCCCTTAGCGTGAATGGGTGTCTGCCCTCTCGTCAGTAGTTCAGAATTAGGAATGGCGGCAGATAGCCTCGGTAATTTTGCCATAAATACAAAAATAAACAATACATTAAAAAAAACGATTATAACTAAATATAGACAATGTTCCTATGATTAAGAAATAATCTTACGTTATTAGCTAGTCATTTTTAAACGATTTTTTATCTTGGCGATAAACATTTTTATAGCTAAGACTAAAGTGTCCACATTGAACATGTAGTGATTCCACACGGAACGCACTAGAGGAAGATTATTATTAGTTCCAAATCAACTATATCGTCATTACGACCTTCCAGCAGTCAAATGTGTAAACAAAGTTGTGGAAATTATCATATTAGGACTTAATTTGTTAGTAATATATGTTTGTCAATATGACAGTTATAGAATATTCTAACAAGATGGTGTGCTAAAAAAAAGCTAAATTAATAACAACAGAAGCAAGTTTTAATTAACAAAAGGTTGATACTCTGTTATATTTCCCAAAGAGTACAGTTTCGTGTATTTATATTACGGTTAAAACTCCAACACTGAGATATATTCAAATGTTTGTGTAGCATTCAATATTCTGAAATTCTATGCAATAAGACAACTACATACTGGAAGAAAAGACAACTTCGTCAGCATTGTTTAGCATAAGCTACATAGAATACCAATAAAGTACTATCGCAGTATAAAGTAACACAATATCTTTCATGCAGCAATTATGTATTTCTGGTATAAAATACCGAAAAACAACGGTTTTTACAATGAAACCAGACACACATTGCATCCTAGTTAACACGACAAAGTACAGAATAGCGAAGTAGGAAATATTTAGACATTAAAACACTACTTTCATTACCATTACTTAGTGTTTGTGATTAAATATATGTCGATGTTTTCAAACGTAAGCAATTAAAATTAATCATACATTTACACAAGTTTGGAACACCTACCAAAATAATATAATACTAACTTTACTTTCGGTTTCAAACTGTCTTGTGTATAGTATATATATGTATATACCTTTGTATAATTTACACTTATGTGTTACAGTTCGAATTTTCCTCAGCAGATGGCGCCACACAACAGTTAAATATTGTATTGTCGCTGTCCGCTACGCAAGAGTAACTACATCGCTAATAGGTTAGAACTCCCCTAGGGCTGTCAATGCTTCATTGCGGGAGGTAGGTGCCCCTCTGGGGCGTTTTACTTCTTCATCATGGAAGGTGGGAGTTCCCATAAGACGTTATTTAATTATTTTCTTACTTTACATCCACGTTAAAAACAAAATGAAAAAATTAAAATTAGATGTAAGTCACAACTTTTCTAAAGCATTATTTTAAGATTGTCACTTCGAGAAATAGCCAGAATCGAACTGATAAAACAGTTTCGTGAACAGTCAAATGTAAAATAGCAAATCTTTGGCTAAATATCATAAAAATAGAAAAATCCGCTTAGCTACCACTTTTAAGTATCTTAATAACGGAAAACTTTGAAAGTAAAGCATTAAATATACATAAGAATGTATAGGTATCCGTGAGGGTTTATATGTATGTGTTTTTGATTTAGAAACTCTACTTACCAGATATCGTGATTCTGATATTCTAAAATTATTTCGAACATAAACATACATACATTCAACTAAACTATGGTGTTTATTTTGTAGCTACTTTGTGGAATAAAAGGGTTAAACTTTGTTCGTAACATAATATCAAGAGCAAAAGTTATTCGTAAGTGACAATTAATAACATACGGAGATAATAAGTATGTCAGCCTCGTGTACTGCAACAAACCTTCAGTTGTTGTCATGGTTACAGGCCATAAAAGGAACGTACATAGCGCTCGTTGTTTACTCCCATTTTTACACATGATGGTTAGCAAGACACATAACTCATGTATAACAAAAGAAAACACAGGGAGAAGTAACCCGACTGAAACATGAAATTTTCATGAAACCCACAGACACTTGTAAATATCTCGATTAACACATAACTTATATGTTACAGAAGTTTACATGAAACCCACAGACATTTGTAAATATCTCGACTAACACATAACTTATATACTACAGAAGCTTTCATGAAACCCACAGACACTTGTAAATGTCTCGACTAACACATAACTTATATACTACAGAAGCTTTCATGAAACCCACAGACACTTGTAAATGTCTCGACTAACACATAACTTATATACCATTGTCTGGGATGCTAACTACTGGGCCACGTTCGGTTCCACACAATGTGAATGCTAACTCCAATACATACGATAGAAAAACAAACGATAAACGAAAGTTAGAATTCATACAAGACTTGGTAAGACCATACGATGAATTGTACTAATAATACAATAATGGAGTATGAACTGCACATTAGTAAAAGAAATCTTCTACATCCACCCAAATACAGAACCTGGATACCCTTTGTCGAAATGGCAGTTTCAAGTCTTACTGGGATGAGTGCCCTGGCAAGTTGATACCACGCCAGTTTTTCTGTCAAGAAGGCCCAGGATCGAATCTTGGGCACAACAAACACAATTGGGGCTTGTCACAGCTCTGTTCTTCCTTGTAGATTCGAGACAGTTCTCCTCGAAGGGTTTGCAGGCCGTTGAGAGAGAGAGAGATGATTTTCGTAAAAGACATCTGTTTGCGAGGGTTTTTTCTTTAAGTGGAACAGCTGCCCCAGGCCGCAGTGGCACGAAGAGTCGTTAGGCCTGGGAACTTCCTGGATCGCAGTGGATGACCATAACGTCTTTGTACTGTATTCCTCCGCGTGTAGCAGCATCACCTTCGTGGCCGTTCAACCAAACCCGATTTCCTCCGCCGACACAGTAAGTCCCCACGTCACCTGGTGTAGAAGACCCGTCGAAAACCCTCACCTGGTTTAGACTGCCCGTCAAAGCGGTTTGCTGGGGCGTGGTCGCTGTCGCATGCAAACAGCTACCAGGAGCAACAGGCGACAGCTGGATGCAGGTGGGGACCAAAGCGGGTTAATTACTCCAATTGGAGTGCAACGTATTCCCCGTCATTGGTACTACCCCCCCCCCCCATGACAATACTATACAGCACTGATATAATAAACGGGTTTTTACAGTGAATTTGTATTTTTAAGAGTTAATTTTTTTAGTTATCATATTACTAGTAGTATAACACCAATATAATTAGTTGGATATAAAACGTGTTTTTTTAGTTAGTGTTACATTATTAGTGTAATATCATAAGGATATAAAACGTGTTTTTTCAGTTAGTGTTACATTATTAGTGTAATATCATAAGGATATAAAACGTGTTTTTTAGTTAGTGTTACATTATTAGTGTAATATTTTAAGGATATAAAATGTGTTTTTTAACTAGTGTTACATCATTAGTGTAATAGTATAAGGATACAAAACGTGTTTTTTCAGTTAGTGTTACATTATTAGTGTAATATCATAAGGATATAAAACGTGTTTTTTCAGTTAGTGTTACATTATTAGTGTAATATCATAAGGATATAAAACGTGTTTTTTAGTTAGTGTTACATTATTAGTGTAATATCATAAGGATATAAAACGTGTTTTTTCAGTTAGTGTTACATTATTAGTGTAATATTTTAAGGATATAAAACGTGTTTTTTAACTAGTGTTACATTATTAGTGTAATATCATAAGGATATAAAACGTGTTTTTTTAGTTAGTGTAATATCATAAGGATATAAAACGTGTTTTTTTAGTTAGTGTTACATTATTAGTGTAATAGTATAAGGATATAAAACGTGGTTTCGTTAATTAGTGTTACATCTTTTTAATAATTTAAAATAATCAATCATTAGAACATAGACGTTATTCTTTATGTTTTTGTTTATTTTTAGTCTTAGCTTTAACATCGTTAAAACAACCATTACAACCTGTATGTAAATTTAATGTTAATCTCTTCAATTTCACAACTCTAAAGTGCAGACAACATTTTGATTTTAAAATTTTTTTTCTGTCAATTTACTCGCAACTTTAAATTTTCTTTTTGGTCGGTGGTGCAACGAGTAATTATATTATGAAACATTTCACCTACCACATAAATGTTAAGTAGTTCTACAAGATATAAAGATCCACCAACAACAAGAGATAGCCTGCTTAGATCGATTAAATTATTGGATTTAGTTAAAGTGTGTTTCGAACATAAAGCAGATAAATGAAGATATAAGTTTTGTAAGCGTGGCTTCAATCCAGCGGGTAGGTTTTAATAAAAACAAAATGTTTTTGCTGTTGAAACATAAAATACCAAGTCAAGAAATTCTCCGTATGTGAAAACCTTCCAAC